GAGGCTATAAGAAGATTGCCAGACCCTGAAACTAAGCTGCAGCACGGTGGCCAAGACCATACAGCGATTCAACAGGACAGGTTCCAATCAGAACAGGCCTCGCCATGCTCAACCAAAGAAGCTGAGTGCACGTGCTCAGCGTCATATCCAGAGGTTGTCTTTGGGAATTAGACCTATGAGTGCTGCCAGCATTGCTGCAGAGGTTGAAGGGGTGGGGGGTCAGCCTGTCAGTGCTCAGACCATACTACGCACACTGCATGAAACTGGTCTGCATGGCTGTCGTCCCAGAAGGAAGCCTCTTCTAAAGATGATGCAGAAGAAAGCCTGCAAACAGTTTGCTGAAGACAAGCAGACTGAGGACATGGATTACTGGAACCATGTCCTGTGGTCTGATGAGACCGAGATAAACTTATTTGGTTCAGATGGTGTAAAGTGTGTGTGGCAGCAACCAGGTGAGGAGTACAAAAACAAGTGTGTCTTGCCTACAGTCAGGCATGGTGGTGGGAGTGTCCTGGTCTGGGGCTGCATGAGTGCTGCCAGCACTGGGGAGCTACAGTTCATTGAGGGACCATGAATGCCAACATGTACTGTGACATACTGAAGCAGAGCAAGATCCTCTCCCTTCGGAGACTGGGCCACAGGGCAGTATTCCAACATGATAAACACACCTCCAAGACGACCACTGCCTCGCTAAAGAAGATGAGGGTAAAGGTGATGGACTGGCCAAGCATGTCTCCAGACCTGAACCCTACTGAGCATCTGTGGGGCATCCTCAAATGGAATGTGGAGGAGTGCAAGGTCCAGCAAGGACCAGCTCCGTGATGTCGCAATGGAGGAGTGGAAGAGGACTCCAGTGGTAACCTGTGAAGCTCTGGTGAACTCCATGCCCAAGAGGGTTGAGGCAGTGTTGCCAGCGGTTTAGACATTAATAGCTGTGTGAAGTGTTACACAAGCTGTCCACTCACTACTTTACATTGTAGCAAAGTTCTTCTCATTTCTTCAGTGTTGTCACATGAAAAGATCAATCAAATAATCGATTGAAATAAAAATTTGATCGAATCAAATATTTACAAACATGTGAGGGGTGTACTCACTTTTGTGAGTTACTGTACCTGTATATGAATAGGTAGTGGAATGTCAAGTGTTGATACATTCTAAGCTTACGAATGTCACAAAAGTTAATATATCTGTATTTGGCACTACTATAATTCTTTTTCTTACTTCAGTTTTGGATATATTAATGCAATAATAATAATCAGACAATCATTTGGAACTACAGTAAACAGGTAGGATAATGTTGCCATGGAGACAGTTAGTTAGCTGTGGGCTACAACTTTAGACCTGTTTTTTAGCCTATATTTGTTTACAGAATGTTGAATCAGCTGTTAGCAGTGTACCAATAAATGTACAGATGTCTGTCATTTGATTATACTGAACAAAAACATGATGATCCTCAGGCAAGTTTTTAGGATTTCTAAGAGAATTTATGGACATTCATACCCACAATGGACAGTGCAGATAAGTGCTGTACCGAACTGTATGAAGCTCCCTTTCAGACACAGTCAGTCTGAATTGGTTGTGAGTGCCTATTATTTAATTTTGAACAAGCCAAAAACTATGTTCAGTGTGAGATCTGTTACCACACTACATTCTGCACTATGCCAGCCTGCCAAGTAGACAGATCTGTCCCAGCCCACTGTCACACTGAGACAGCAGGGAGAGAAACAAAAACAATCTGTATTGTATGAATTAGGGTTGATCCGACTGGCGATTGGATCCCCAACGACGATTGAAGAGATGATCAGCGATTGGTTTTTCATGCACCGATATTAAGGCAATTTTAACTAACTCACTAACGGAACTAAGATGACATAAAAACAGTCTCTACAACCTGCACCACACTGCAGTGTTTCCTGTTCATTGATTTATTTGTGGCAACACCACAATATAATGCTGAACGCCACATACTATTTAATATGAGGAAAATCATCATTCATCGCGGAGCTGCGCACAGCACATAGATTCACTCAGCCCCTCTGCTTGGTCGTTCGTTCCCCCCCCCCCCTCACAAACACATTGAAACAGAGCCGTGTGTTTATAGAAAAACGAATGCATTGAAGTTAACGCTGAGAAGTTAGTGTATCTATTTTCTTAACACAACGCTGTCAATTTTGGAGACTGATATGTTAACTTTATAATACAGACGGGTTGTCAAGGTTGACACGCTGTACATAGCCGCTATTGATTGCACCCTCCTTCTCCCTGCTGCGCCAGTTACATGGTAATTATGTGGGAAACACCGTACTGTGCATTTCCAGATGTTTCTGGTGGTTTCTCTCTTAAAGCTAATAAGCCTGTTTCTTCCATGCTAGCATTTCACTGAGAAGCTACAACGTAACACTGCCCACTGGCAATCAGATCGCCAATAGGTGATCTCAAGTAGCCATGATCAGACGATATGAAAATAGAGAGGATCAACCGTAGTACAAATTTAAGTTAAACTAATCTTTTCCAGGGCCTAAACTCATTTCATTAACAAAACATGTAATAATTCAGTGAATTTCATACTTGTTTTTCAGATCTACCCACCCATCAATGTGTTGCCCTCACTGTCCCGTCTGATGAAGTCAGCCATCGGTGAGGGGATGACCAGGAAGGACCATGCTGATGTTTCTAACCAGCTGGTAACAAATCTTACCTCTTGTACCCAAACATGTGTCCTGTATGCTGGCCATAATGTTTCTGATGAACAGTGTGTCTCCTTATCTAGTATGCCTGTTATGCCATTGGTAAAGACGTCCAGGCTATGAAGGCTGTGGTTGGAGAAGAAGCCCTCACCTCTGATGATCTGCTCTACCTTGAGTTCCTACAGAAGTTTGAGAAGAATTTCATTGCTCAGGGTAAGAAGATTCCATGTGTTAGTTTCAGAGCTAATCCTGTCCACATCATTTATAACCGTGAGGGTGCAGGCAGGAGCTGGCAACCACAGCTAATATGGGCAGTTCATTGTTCCATGAATGAACTGAATAAGCTCCTCAAATGCTCCTCAAATGTCAATTTGGTGCTTTTCTCTTTACACTCGTGTAAACTGAATATCTTAGGGTTTTGGGCTGTCAGACAAAGCATGCAATTTGAAGACATCACCTTGGGCTCCAGGAAGTTATGATGGACATATTTCGCTATTTTTCGAACATTTTATAGTCTAAGTAGTTCATTGTAAAAATAGCAACAGATTGATTGAGAATGAAAATATTGTTAGTTGCAGCTCTAAGGGATTGTAATTGGATACCTATATACAATACCTAAAGTGTTTGCACACTGCCAGCTCTCCTGTGAGTTCACCACAGAGAACCTTGTGCCAGAGTTCACCTGTTTTATTTAGGAAGTGTTCAAGCAGGAGAAATTTAATTTAGGGTTAGTCACATATATACATATACTGTATTCAGTTCAGTGTGGTGGAAATGAATAAATGACACCACATACAAAATCTTTATTCTAAGGTGATTATAAAGGAAATTCAGAAGTGGGAATGGGGAAAGGTGTGTGGCAGTAGCTGTCTCCTGTCTATCTGGTCTCTGACTGTGACTTCAGGACTGTGAAATCCTGTGTCACTCAGTTTTCCTGCTAGTCTAGATGACCTTGAGTTTAAGTTTGTCCCTGAACAATATCGATCTGTGTAGCGTCCTTCTTAGTTACTGAACCATACCTGACCATTTGTTTCTCGCTCTAGTTTCTTGAAAGTGACGGAACAAATGGTTTAATCTTCTTGGTAAATGCTGTGCATACAGAGCTGTATTTCCTCTTGAACACTGATGGATTCCACAGGAGAATAGTAAGCACCCTTAACAGCGATCCAGGATGGGAACTGGGAAAGAAGTATTTTATCCCTTTCCATACGGCCCATTTTCAGGAACATCTTTGCTTGATTTGATGTACAGTAAAGAATGTGTGACAGCCACAGTCGATAATATGTGTGGATGCTAACCAGCATTGTGGCCCCACTGTCTCCATCAGGCCCGTACGACAACAGGACAGTGTATGAAACCCTGGACATCGGCTGGCAGCTGCTGCGAATCTTCCCCAAGGAGATGCTCAAGAGGATTCCTCAGAGCACCCTGGCTGAGTTTTACCCCAGGGAGTCTGCCGCCCGTCACTGAGGCACGCTGAGGGATGCTCTGGTTCTAGCCCAACTCACCTTTCTACCCACCATCCTTCTTTCTCTTTTATTCCTTTCTTTCATCTCATCCTCCAGCCCTGCACTTGAAGGGGCCTGGAGACCCATCCCAAACCTCACCTCTTCTTTCTCTACTCTTCTTACTACCTCCAGTTCATCTTCTTCTCCAACACCACCCCCACTTCCCTACCCTGAATGACCACAGGGCAATAATCTCCCCTTCTGTAGATGTACTGTAGCGTAGATGTGTCCAGACGGTGTATATGGAAAGTGTCGGTGGTTGTAATGTCTACCCTTGATTGCAAAAATGTGAACATATCCTTGAAATGATAGAGTCCTTATTTATTGGGGTGTGTTACTGCTGGATCTTCCTTTTCATTTAAAAAAAAAATGCTATGTAATATCAATCTTCCCACTAAAGAGTGGGAGATATAGGGTGGTTGTCAAAATACCAAATACCCTGAAATACAGCCCCCCTGCAGCCAGGTTTTTATTAAGACAGTCAGTAATGTTAATTCAACTTGATTGTCATTTTCTAAACTAAAAGGCAGGCTTACAGTGAATATTTGCTGAACACAAACTCAGAGCTTGAACATCATAAATGTCACCTGAGGGTCGAGTGTTTATCTTATTTTGTCCACTCCCTCTGTATTTGTTAATAATACGCAACTGCTATATTTTTTCATGTCAGTGGTTTATTTGGCTATTGGTCAGATTTCCATGCTGAAGAAAGTAAACAGGCAAACTTGGGCCAGATGTTTACTGTATGTTACACCAGACTCTTTCCTCCCTCTTTTGGGCCCTCTTGCTTCCTCCACTGATTCTGAAAAGTATACAGTGGATGTTATCGTTATTTGTGTTTTGCTGTTTGATTTGTGTTGCGAAAGATGAGTATGTAAGAGTATATTAAACATTCCCATGTGTCTGCAAAAATGAATTCTTTGTTGTGCAACAATAATGGTTTTGTGAGTTTGTGTCCATGAATAAATTAAATTATGATTATGCTGTTGAGTCATCTCTGCACTTCATTCATCACATACATCAGCAACACAGATATTCTTCATGAGGTCGATTTGGTCAACTCAAATATTCAATCAAGCTTTCTATGACAGATTCAGAGAGTGTTTAGTTGTCATTTCATATCAAAATTTCAGAAAAGGTGCTGTCAGTTGTTACAGCGCAACTTTTACATTTTGTTAAATACATTTCATCTCATGTCATTGGTGCCTTCAAGAGCTGCCATCTCTAAAGAACTAACAGCTTTAGCTTAGGTTTTTACACCCTGACAAGATTACAGTTTTGTGAGGTAGCAATGAATGCATGTCCAGTTTTTTTAAGAAACAGAATCCACCTTAATATAAATAGGACCTGAGTACAGCTCTGCAGACAAACAATGTTCAATGAACAAAAACGTTCAAATCCCCACTTAACTAGCTTTTCAGAACTTTCAGTCACATCTCAGGGTCTTCATTAAGCTCCTTTGTTTAGCCTGGTACAAACATGACCACCTGAGTCATTCTGACAACTAAAGATAGTTCTCAAAACAGGTCACCCAAAGCTTAGTCACAACATACAGTCTGCTGGATGTGTCCAATGGAATTGGCTGTTTTATATTATTTTATAGAATTGATTATCCACAAGACATATTTACCTCATTCCACAGATTCTATCCTTTGCTTTGTGAACTTATAGAAACATTAGAAGCATGTGGCAGGTCAGTGGGAACAAAACAAAGTTACAGTGTAAGCTTTACAAAGCATGTGCACAAATACAGTTTTAATGGCCGATTATTACTGTCCCATGTACTACCATACATTACCATTTAACTACTGTGGTATGATCATATTTTTCTTTTAAAAATAGAATTTTCAAATGTCAGCTCGGGTCTCTGGACGTCCTCAGTGAGACTGTACTGCAGCCTGTGTGCGTGCACGCGAGAGAATCCACCTTCCAGGTGTGTCGCATTGAAGCACTTCCTGGTGGACTTTGGTTCAGGATTTTGTCGGTATGGCTGCACAAGAGCTGGATAAAATGAGCGTCGTTACAGATCTGTCTAACCAAGGTGAGTTTGTTGTGAGCCGTCAGATGGTGAGGACAGTGCTGCTGGCAGTTCCAGGGTCTCTCGGTGTCTGGCGCGTGTCTTGCTTTTGCATTGGAATTAATTCGCGCTAAAAATATACAAATGAAAAACAGAGCTGTTTGGTAAAACGACACAGGGAGCACCTGCTTTGAGCGAAAGTTTGAAGGTTTTTGGTGAACAGGCAGAGCAGTTTTTATGTCGGTATAAGATCATATGGGGTCAGGTGGGAGTGGGATTGACACGCAGCTGGAGGAGAGTGGGTGGCTGGGAAGAACTTTCACTCCACTGTGAGTTGATGTCTACTAACATCTGCTGAATTTATTCTTTCACCATTCTTTTCCAGCTCTAGTGGTTTCTGTTTTCATGGCCAAGGTCCATGTCCAGTAGGAGGACTGGCTTTTTACGCCTTACAACCAGGGCAGTTTAAACTGCTAGTGGGCCCAAAGGCCCCCTGCCCCCTCCACTCCCTGCTGTATGTTAGGATTCCTGTGCTGGAATGGTTTCCTGTGTGGTCATTTGATTGAACACAAACAGTTGTGGAAGTATTCAGATCCTTCACTTAAGTGTGCTGGTCATATAATTAGAATATCAAAAAAAAGTTGATTTTTTTCAGTAATTCCATTCAAAAGGTGAAACTTGTATAATGTATACATTCATTCCACGCAGACTGATATATTTCAAGTGTTCATTCCTTTTAATTTTGATGATTATAGCTGACAACTAATGAAAACCCCAAAATCAGTATCTCAGAAAATTAGAATATTGTGAAAAGGTTCAATATTGAAGACACCTGGTGCCACACTCTAATCAGCTAATTAACACCTGCAAAGGCCTTTAAATGGTCTCTTTCTAGTTCTGCAGGCTACACAATCATGGGGAAGACTGCTGACTTGACAGCTGTCCAAAAGACGACCATTGACACCTTGCACAAGGAGGGCAAGACACAAAAGGTCATTGCTAAAGAAGCTGGCTGTTCACAGAGCTCTGTGTCCAAGCACATTAATAGAGAGGCGAGGGGAAGGAAAAGATGTGGTAGAAAAAAGTGTACAAGCAATAGGGATAACTGCACCCTGGAGAGGATTGTGAAACAAAACCCATTCAAAAATGTGGGGGAGATTCACAAAGAGTGGACTGCAGCTGGAGTCAGTGCTTCAAGAACCACCATGCACAGACGTATGCAAGACATGGGTTTCAGCTGTCGCATTCCTTGTGTCAAGCCACTCTTGAACAAGACACAGCGTCAGAAGCGTCTCGCCTGGGCTAAAGACAAAAAGGACTGGACTGCTGCTGAGTGGTCCAAAGTTATGTTCTCTGATGAAAGTAAATTTTGCATTTCCTTTGGAAATCAAGGTCCCAGAGTCTGGAGGAAGAGAGGAGAGGCACAGAATCCACGTTGTTTGAAGTCCAGTGTAAAGTTTCCACAGTCAGTGATGGTTTGGGGTGCCATGTCATCTGCTGGTGTTGGTCCACTATGAGGTCCAAGGTCAACGTGGCCGTCTACCAGGAAGTTTTAGAGCACTTCATGCTTCCTGCTGCTGACCAACTTTATGGAGATGCAGATTTCATTTTCCAACAGGACTTAGCACCTGCACACAGTGCCTCGACTGACCTGAACCCTACAGAAAATCTATGGGGTATTGTGAATAGGAAGATGCGATACGCCAGACCCAACAATGCAGAAGAGCTGAAGGCCACTATCAGAGCAACCTGGGCTCTCATAACACCTGAGCAGTGCCACAGACTGATGGACTCCATGCCATGCCGCATTGCTGCAGTAATTCAGGCAAAAGAAGCCCCAACTACGTATTGAGTGCTGTACATGCTCATACTTTTCATGTTCATATTTTTCAGTTGGCCAACATTTCTAAAAATCCTTTTTTTGTATTGGTCTTAAGTAATATTCTAATTTTCTGAGATACTGAATTTGGGATTTTCATTAGTTGTCAGTTTTAATCATCACAATTAAATGAAATAAACATTTGAAATATATCAGTCTGTGTGTAATGAATGAATATAATATCCAAGTTTCACTTTTTGAGTGGAATTACTGAAATAAATCAACTTTTTGATGATATTCTAATTATATGACCAGCACCTGTAAATACATTAACTTAAGGCTCAATACAGTTAAATTCTTAGGAGCTGTTTTTTTTCTTTCAATACTTTATCATGTTTCCATTACTATTATTATTATTATATATTTAGATGTTTTAAAAAGGAATGACAACTACATTTACTCAAGTAGTATACGTGTGCAGCTTCTTGGCTGTAAAAATGTATTTCAGTAAAGATTTCAAGTTGCTAATGTATTCTTTATTTCTCATAAAAAAGACAGATGACAAACTAAGTTCAAAAGCTAAATAATATATTAAGTACCACTTAAGTAAATAAAGCACATAAATAAGAGCTTTGTTTTATTTTAATAAATGATTTATCTGCCAATTACTTCAATTAATTGATTAATCCTTTTGGACTATAACAAATCCCAAAATATTCACATCACTGTAATGTAAATGCAAGAAAAAGGAATGACATGCAGCAAATCCAGCTGGGGACATTGGAATCAGCTTGGTATTCAGCTAAATCACCACAACACCCCTTGCTGCATTTTCTTTGCTAGCTTTGTCTAGACTTCAACAGCAATATGTGTACTTTTACAGGTTACTTTTAGTCAGTGGTGCACCTAGTATTTAGATCATTAAGTAAAGTGGCAATACCACAATGCAAGAGAAAGTCTTGCATTCAAAATTATCATAATGTGAATGTAGAAACATGTATTTATAGTTTGATATTTTTATTATTAAATGGAGAAATGGAGAAAAGCCCTGCAAGCATGTCAAAACTGACCAGACATGAGACAAAACGTCAGAACAACAACACAAACATCTCAACTGCATAATAACCTTTTAAGATCTTACATGTAATGTATTTTCATTATATATAAAGATTTTTATGTAATAGTTCTTGGGTTATTATTACTCATGCATTAACATGTAAGCAGCATTTTAAAGTTATAGTGGTTTAAGTCCACCACTTAATTCCACCACATATTTAAGACCTATGACCAGTAAAGCTTGAGGCAGAGCAGAGTACTGTAGTGTGCACTGAAAGTCATTAGGTCCCTTGTTGCATGTGGAACAGAATATTAGCAGGTTCACTGTAAAGTAACTGTTTAGCATGTTAGTGAAATGTGCTGGTTAAATGTGTTGTATCTTGTTTATTTAACACTTATAGAATACACGTATAAAATGTGACGTTTTGTTCAATAGAACTGTTAAATATTTCTTGGCCAGCAACACTGGGCAAAGCAGAACTCCTCTCCTTGTAGTGGTTTGGCAGGTTTGGACACTGTTGTAACTATACCATATATGAAGTCTATTTAGAAGGCCTGTTAAAGTAGAAACCGGGTAAAGCCATCCCTATATCTCTGTAAGGTACAGTCATAGTCTATTTAAAAAAAAAAGTTTCACAAATTTAAAGTTAACACAAATGTATTATAAAAGGAACTTCCTCCTTACTATTGTAGTTACACCCTAGGCAAATATTCAGACAACCAGTGTTACTATATTCAACATCTTGTGCTATGATAGTCAGGTGACACAGGACACAAGCTGTACTAGTCACTGAATGAGAAGTTATCACATGCTGGAAATGAAGAAGTTCCCATTGGTTGACTTTTTTAAACAGGATAATGTGAGTTGTGTGTTCACTGACCCTTGCGTTATTGTGATTTACTGATGAAGATGGCTTACTGGCATCCTTTGCTCCCTACAGCTATACAGGAGTATGAGAGCCTGCATAGGAAGCACAAGACCACAACCATGGAGGTAAGTGTTAATATTAAGTGAAGGAGCAGCAAAGGCAGCTAAAGTAGAAATATTTGTATTATAGTAAAAGCTTATGACGCATTCTTTGTCCAGGTACT